CAGCAGGAAAAGGAGGGAAGCTGTCTGTAACATCTCCTTTAATGCAGAATACTTCTTCAAATCTGACCACAATTGGAAGTGCTGCAAATTGCTCAATTTTATATAACAAAAGAGAGGAATTAAAACATGCTATAAATGTAAAAACAGGAGACTATCTGAGGCAAAGCATAAGTAAAAAAACCAACCCAAACATATTAAAAGAAATACTAGTTTTACATTTAAAATGAAATGGTTCATGACCTTTTGTACACATTGGTATTTTGGAGATTACTGAGTTGGTTTGAAATTTTTAATGTTTCAGCCTTTGATAACTAAGAGAGCAAAACAAATTCTAGCTCCTATGCAGACATCAGGTGAACTCCTACGTGCATTCAGGAGTTTCTTATTTTAAGGAGGCCGTACATTGAGAACTGAAAACTTTGTATTGTGGTGATGTCACCATTAAAAATTTTGTGTTTAAATGTTTCCTCTCTTAATAAAGTCAAGAACCAAAATGTAAACTAAGTTGGCTTTTCTCACACCTTCCTCCTCTCCAAAAGAATTTGGAGCTGCAAGAATACAAAAGCTACATGAGCTCAAAGATAGCATTTCAAGAGGTATGAAGGTGGCTATTGCATTTATTTGTCTGATGCACCTTTTTTGGTGAGTTATAAAAGATAGTTTTTCAAAGTTTCAAGTTCCAAAGACCTTTCCTGCACTTCAAATAATTTGGGAGCTATTATTTCAATCTGAACTAGAGGTGACAGAGTTTTTTCCCAGTTTGCACAAGGAAGTGAAAGCTTTAGAATGCTTATTTGTGAATTAGAAATCTCTCCTTGGTAATTTTCTTTGTGGGAAAATGATACAGAAAATAACTGTTTCATCAAAATGCACATATTTCCCAAATTACCAGGAAGATAATCCTCATCTCTTTCATGCTATCCATTTCCTGAGGGTCTGCCATTTATTTTTTTCTCCAGTATACTTTATCTGTGCTCCACTTCTAGCACAGCCACCTACTTCTGCGGCTAGGTAATCAAAGATTCTTCCAAGGTAGCAGGTTTAAACTTCCTTTAATTTACCTGAGCATCAGAAAGAGCAGCTCTCCGGACTTCTGAATCAAAGCAGATAAAAGCATCTCTCTGGGACTAGAGCTCCTTTCTAACTTTCTGCTGGGGCAGGCAACACAGGGAAAGAAGATGTCTGAGCAGTTTTGTGCAACAAAACTGCACAGCACACCCCTGGCTTCAAGACACTGGGATTAGGCTGAAAAACTGAGGATAAATTCTTTTAGCTTAGACATCCCTGGAACTTGGGAAAAGACAAAATCTAATGTGTACTTCCAAGTTTCCATTAGATTCCACCATTTAAAACTATACAAACAAAAAGAACTAAGGAATTTACTTTATAAGGGAAATGTTCATAATTGGAATATAATGAAAAAAAAATAGTTTTCCAAACCAGTTGTTCTCTGATTTTACCTCCAATTCTAAGCTTAAGTCCAAATAAGAATTACATTCTCATATTTCAGGTTTTCAAAGACACTGTAACTTGTGACTAAAATTGTGGCCAATTAACCACAGTTTTATGTTTAGCTCTGCCTTTTGCCTACAGTATTTTATAGTTTTGTTGGTTCAGCTCTTCCTCTTGCTCTTTCTCCTACTCAGAGGATTGGCTGTAAAACCTTTTTCCCTATGCTCTCATTAACGACCTCAAGAATACACAAACATCTCCAATGTGGACATAATTACAGAAATGGAGTTATTATAGCACCACATGTGTGTGTGCCACCAGCTTCCTCATAATTTTCTCATTTCACAGATACATTTGCAGTCATCTGGCCCTCCCTGCAGAGGATGGAAGATGAAGAGTTTCCTACACTGCAGTGATGGGTCTTGTCAGCAGTTCTATTTCTGTGGGGCCCTTAGGACTGTTTGGGGATTTTTATCCTTTGCTGGTAAACTAATCCTTTCTGTTTGTCCATTAATGGTGATCACCAGTTTTGATCATCCCTGCCATGTCTGAAAGAGACAATGGTCGACAAACCTGACCATAACATATTCCTCTACAAGAAGGCTACCCAAAAAAAGGTAGTTTAAAACAAAGATATAAAAGAGTAGTTTACAATAACGGTGGTCAAAGAAAATAAATACTCTTAGCTGCTTATTTTACAACTAGGTTAGAAGAAAATATAAATGTTTCATGGTTCCCATAGCTAGTAAATGGATATATAGTGATTGTGCCTTCTTTACACATACCAATCTATATTGATTATGCTGTATTTGGTTACAGCTACTGGGTTGTATGCAGATTCACACACACACACAAAAAGCTTTCAGAGTTGTGTTACAACAGTTAGGAATGACACCTTTTACATTTCTGTTATCAATATTATTTTTTTAACAGCATCCAGAACACTGACAAGAGATTTTTGGCTTTCCATGTGTCTATGTGCAAGTTTGGGCTTGAAATACTTCAATAAAATATACATGACACTTAAAAAATATATATAATGTTGTTTTCAGACTTGAAAATCATAGTATGCAGAAGTATGTGTTCAAAGTTTGAACACTGTGGTGACCCAGTAAAACTCTGGTCTCAGAACATCACTCTGTTTTGTAGTTCAGCAACAAATAGCTCAACCTAAATGAAGGCTTTGTTCAGACTAATTTTAATCATGCAGATAATCTCAAAAGAAAAAAAGACGTGATCTGAGTTTGACCCAAATTCCATACCTTCTTTCTACCCATATATGAGTGTACTAAGGTACAGAAAAGTGAATGTACATATAAAATTACTAACTGCATGCTTTTTTTTTTCTTTTGACTTAACCGAGAGAAAAGTAACAGAACAGTTGGGTACTAGATTATTTCTGAAGTTCATTCCTGTAAGAAATGATCTTTAGGAGAGGAAAAGGTTAGTTGGGGGAGAAAAAGACAGTTTCATGCAGTCAGCAGTCAGGCTGGGGGGAAAAACTGTGTTAAATATTGCCAATATTGCCATTTTTTACAACTAATTTACAAGTTACCTCGTTGAAATTTGCACCTCAGTATGAATGAAACTTGGTGATAGCCCAAAGTCTACAAACTCCACAAACCTGGACATTGCTAACAAAATTTTTAACAAATCTCTTCAGTCTCTACAGACCTCTTTTAACGCATTTGGAACAGATATTTGTTGGAGTGATTTTAATTTATTTTAAGCAAAGTGTTTGATACACCTTAGCTGACCACACAACTGTGCAACAACTTAGTACAAGTTTCCCATTACCAAATCTGCTATGCCAATGATTGTTTATTTTTTTTTTTAAACAACTGTTGCAAACCATATTGTCAGACTGTGAACACAAGTAACCTACTAATGGAGTACTTGTCTGTGTACTGGGACAACAGACGTATTTGAATTCTTTTCTCCTTTGACAACCTGTGTGAACAAAATGGAGGAGGAAAAAAGGAAGCATAATTACATGAGAAGTGGCAGCAGTGCTGGTTAAGGTGGTGCCATCTGACACAGCAGACATCTGGCTCAAGGTTGGGGAAGGTGTTTCAGAGCAGTCAGTAGTATCATAGCTACAAGTCTGCAGCTCATCTAGAATGGCTGTGGAGGACTCACTCACTGTGCGGGAGGAACACTCACTCATGGCAGAATCTGTGCTTACAGAGGCTGTTTCGTTCCTGTGGATAATACTTTCAGAAGCTAGGTATGGGCATTTATATGAAAACTGTGAGAGGGCTGGGGTCTTATAAAAGCGTGAAGGCAAAAAATCATCAAGCGTTGGCAAAGAAAATGGTACTAGATGGGTGCCACTGTCTGGTGAGAAAGAGGTTCTGTTAACTGGTACCACAGGAGGAGGAAGAGGCAGTGGAGAAGCTTCTGTTGCTGTTTGTCTGTGTGTCTGTGAAGCATTTACCTCCATCACAGGGGCAGTTACTTTCTGGTTTCCAAGCTGAGATTTGAGGAAAAAAAAAATAAGAAAAGAAACAGATTACCAAATGAATAAATAACTTTTCTTTTTGCCTCTTGCTGTGTGTAGGAGAATTACAAAAGCGTAAGTTTTTCAGCAGCCCGAGGAAGTTCACAGTCACATGGATTAGGAAATAAATCAACCACACTCTATATTAAAGTAGGAAAACATGAAAGAAATTAATGCATCAAATACTAGTGGAAGCAATGCCAGAAACCATAGTGTG